GCGCGCAGGAGGGAGAACAGGAGCGCGCCCACGTGACCCCCGGAAACCATGGCAACCCCGCCGGCGGGCGCCGCACACTGGCCACTGAGACAGCTGCGGGGCTGAGGACGCCAGCGCGCGCCGCCTGGCTGGTGGGGAGACCTGCTCCCGCGCGCGGGTAAGGCTTGGGTTCCCCCAGTCAACACTAACCGGTGTTTCCCCACCCTCCCGCCAGCCAAGCGAGCTTCGTTGTCCACCTGTCCGCACGCCCCGGAGCGAGCCGATCCCTCGGCCGAATTCTCACACGTCATTCACCACAGGGAACTCACGCAGACCTCGTGCCACGCGATTTGCCCTGAAACTTCAGCCTCCACCTCGATAGCGGCATTTTGTTTTCCTGCGAGAATCTAGTTGCATTGATAAGTGTTTAAAGTCGTCGAGTGGTACTGGTTGGTTCTCTTTTGGACAAAGAAATAGTGCCCATCTTTGTAACACCTTTTTCTTTCACCTCATTTTATCCAGCCTTTCTCCATCAATCCTGTTTAATGTGTTTTGCTTTACCGATGCTATTCCATTGTCCACCCTGTGCATTTACTATCATTTATTGAGACAAATGCACCATTTATTGTGAGGCACTTATCAAAGTTAGTTGATACTCTTAAACAGGATAGTGCAGCAACTGGAATAAAATGTCATAGTCAGGACAGATGGTCCTAAAGCAAGAAAAGCTTTGCATGATTAGGTTCTTAACTGTTTATTTTAAAACTTCCCCTTATACTATGAGTGATTCTGAATGATATCTCCAAAAATAATACTTCAATATAAAAAGAAATAGAGATGTGTGCTTTTAAAGTACAAGTCCTTGACTTTGAAATGAGGCATCTTCTGTAAATGTTTGCAATTTTGCCAATTAAATGCTATATAAAAATACATGGTTCATTTTCTACAATGACCACCATATCATTGTAAATAAAATATTTCAAGATCAAGCTCACTTTGTTACCCTGATTTATCTTTCTATCCACAAAAAAAGAGTAAACACATGACTCAAGAAATTCAGTAACTAGAAATCGAGATGTAACAAATTAGTTCCTTTTATAAAAATACGTTATTAACTTTTTGTTTATAATCCAGCTTATATTCATTCCATGATTGAATGTTTTCTCTATTTCCATTTCTTATCAACATCATAATAATGTTGTTTTTAAGTAGAGTACCTTTAATTGTAAGTGTCAAGCGTTTTAAGAAATAAGGTTTTATTAAATGCCATGATTTTCACTGCATGGTCCACAATATTATTTGAACTGTAACCATATTAGCATTATATAAACCATATAAGCATTATTATCTTTATAAATCTAGTAAGTTAAGAAGAATTTGTGTCACTCTTTATGATGTTTTTATCAATATTAGGATTGTTTTCATGCGACATAAAATACAAAATACGGTAACTTAAACAAGATAGAAGCTTGTTTCCCTGTAATGTAGGCAGTCCAGGGCCGGTATGGTGGTTCCATGGTCATCAGACACCCAGGCTCCTTCCAGCTCCTTGCTCTGTAATCCTCAGTTTGTGGTCCAAAATTGCTGCTCCATCTCCAGTCATCTTATCCATATTTCAACCAAGAGGAAAGTGGAAAATAGGGGAACATCCCCCCAACCCCACACACACCTCCTCACTAAGGACACTTCCAGGAAGTTAAACATACCTATATTCTCATGGCCAAAACTTAGTCAAGATGGCCACACCTATGGTGTGACATTGCATTTTCCAGAGGTGGCTGTAAAAATATCTCCTGTTCCATGCGCTCTGCTACAGTTAGACCTTGCCACTCCCCCATCAAGAGTTAAAGTCTTAATTCCCCTCCTCTGAATTTGGATGGGCTTATGACTGCTTTGATAGACATCATGCCAGTATGACAAGCAGCCAGCCCTGTGATGCCCTCTCTGAAATCCTGACCCATGGAATCTATGAGCATAATAAAAAGGTTGTTGTAAGCCTCTGAATTCTGGTGCTATCGTAACTGAAGCACATGGCTATAAGGAAAACTTGGAAATGTAATCTACTTTGATCAGTGATGCACAGAGCAAATATTTGGAGATTAAGGAGAACCAATTCTGGGGACAATAATCAGTGTCGGTCACAATGCTTGACACTCTTTTCCCCAGAAATGGCAGAAGAATAAAACACTCCTTTTTCAACCATTTACAAGAGTCATATTTCATCCTACATTTAGTGTTTGAAAATGCATTTATTACTTCCTGTGGATTTACTGTATGAGGCATGGTAAATGGCTCTGTCATCAACCACAGTGCCAGGGTCATGTGGCTGTCATTTCTTTAGGGATATAGAAGTGAGTCAACCATAAAATGCATAATTTGATTAGATGACCTATATGGTCTCTCCTATCCTGTAACTTCTACAGTAGTATAATATTAAAAGAAAACATGTTGGATTTAAAACATTTTTGCAAACGGCTCTCTGATAACAATATTTATTTGCATCAATTCTTTTTTTTAATTTATTTTTTTAACATTTTATTTTTAAATTTTTTCCACCTCCCCTTCCCTGCTCCCCTCTGATAACCACTTGTCCATTGTCCATGCCCATGAGTCTCTGTTTGTTTGTCCTGTTCATTTGTTGCTTTTAGGTTTATATCCCACATATAAGTGATATCATGTGATTTTCAACCTTTTTTGTCTGTATTTGCATCAATTCTTAAATCAATAACCATGACCTAAAAAAGTAAAGCTTAATCCTGGTATTCCTATTATGTTAATATTGTTCTCAAAAAAAAATTGTTCACTTTTCAAATCATATTCCGGCTTTTATTCACTACCACCTAACCATTTTGGTAATATTGTATGATTTTCTTTGCTTCTTTTTCAGAATACTCCCTTTTGAACCTTGGAGTGCAGTAGCAGTTGCTTATGGGGACTGTTTATTTTTAAATTCTTTAAAAGAACACCATCGATATTGATTCTTTGGTTGTTGATTTACAAAGCAATTTGCACTAGTTTCTCAGAGACTCAGAGGCAACTGGAAAAGAACCTCAACAGTTCAGCATTGGAGTGAATGAAATAAGAATGCTACCAAAGTTGTTTTCACACATGGGAAATTAAACAGATATTGGACAGAGACATCAATTTATTTAAATGTAGCTGCCAAAATAGAACAGTGTAAACAAGACAATCATCTGGGCAATGGGTAATAATAACTATGACCAATCAATCAGCATTTCTTATCAATAGTTAAGATGTATCCTGATCAAGTGTCCTTAGTGCAAGACATATATACACACTCAAGGAAATAAAAAAAGTTGGTGAATTGAAAGGAGACAGAGGCTATGCTTGTATAGGGCCTACTGTGGCCATCACTGCCAATTTTATGTACCTTTAGCAGTTCAACACTGTTTTGGTGTCTCTAGTTCATATCCTCAAGAGACAGAATCCAGTTTTTTGGACTTGACCATCCAGTGGATTGCCTGGCCTTAAGTGAGAGATTCTCTCCTGGCTTAGTAGATGTAGCCAGTGGGATGCAGGATAAGGAAGAGGTCTATTAGTATAAATATGTGACAAGGCCAGCCTCTTCAGCAGAGAGAAAAGTCCCAAACATGGGCACTATAGGTGATATAGGCACCTCACAACTTCTGTGCTAAAAAATAGTTAGCTCATAGCCTGAAATTTTTGTAAACGTTTGGATTAAGACAAAATAGACTAATCTCTAGACGCAGCTTTACAGAAGGTTGCCTCTGGAAGATCCATTTGTCAAACTTTAGCAAGCCTCAGAAGCACTTGCCGGGCTTGATAAAACACTGTTGCTAGCTCTACCCTCAGATTTTCAGATTCAGTAAGTCTGAGGTGAGGCCCAAGAATTTGCACTTCTGTCAAACTCCCGGGTGATGCTTATGCTGCAGGTCTGGAGACCATACTTTGAGATCCACTACATTATATCCTCCAAGGAAGAGTTTGTACTCATAAAACAACTGTTTGAAGTAACTTTTTTGCTTAACATTAAACCATAATTTTTCTTTGGCTAAATTAAAACTAAATGCAGCTTCATTATTCTGTTTTCCTTTAAGGTGACTTGCAAAGTTAAAGATATCTCAAAAGCAACAGAGAATATGCACTTAAATGCTACATTTCATAAATAGAGTATGGGTTTCCTCTTAAGGACTGTGTTGGATTCACAACTTTATCTCTGCTTCCTGAAACCCTACTAAAATAATGGCTAAAAGAATGGGGAAAATAAAACAAAACTATAAGTTCATAAGAACAACAACAACAAAAAAGAACCACAATAAAATCTTTTAAAAAATAAAGAATTTAAATTATCCAGCATTAAAAAGGAAAGAAATTCTGATAAATACTATAACATGGATGAAACTTGAGGATATTATGCTAAGTTAAACAAGCCAGTCAAAAAAGACAAATATTGTATAATTCTGTATCTTGAGTAGTCAAAATTCATAAAAAAAAAGCAAGTAGAATGGCAGTTGCCAAGAGCTGAAGGGAGGGGGAAATGAGTTATTTAATGGTAAAGAGTTTCAGTTTTGCACAATGAAAGAATTCTGACATTGGTTGCAAAACAATGTGAATATACTTAACACTACTGGACTATGAGACTTAAAAATTGGTAAGATGGTAAATTTTATGTGTAATTTTCCACAATTAAAATATTTTAAATTCTTTAATTACAATAACAACAACAACAACAACAACAAAACAAAACAGACAAACAAACAAAGAAGAGAGACAAAAGCAGA